CTACCTGTACTGCAAGGAAAAAAGAACCACTGAGCTAATCTTTATGGTGATTCAAAACACTTTAGATAGATCCTGTCACATGCTTTATAAGTTCCTAATTGATTGTGTGGAATTAAGTTATTGGGCAGAGAACCATCTAATGGAAACACATTGATGAAATCATTTTTGAGGGACATTAATGGAACTTAAAATAAAACTGAAATGGCTTTATGGATTTTTCACTCAAACTGTTTATGAACATTTATTGCCAGTAAATTATATTGTGTCAGAAGAGGGAATCAGTAGGTATGGCTTTAATAGAAACCTTTTTGAAATAATAAAATCGAGAATAATTTATTATCTAAGAACAGATAGGGGATGGGAGAATTCATCCTGATGGATGTTTGTCCACTCTGCAGCTTCTAGAAGAGTGAAAAATGGTGTTAAAAGCAGAAGCCTGATAGGACTTGGAAATAAATGGTGTTTTTGAAAAGTATTAATATCTCATCTCATTGTGCATGTGGATTGTTTTCAGAAGAGAGGTGAGGGGAGATTTAGCAAGTGTTACTTGAGGGTATAAACATTGGGATTTGTTCATATCTCATAAAAAGCTGAACAAGTAGGGAATGATTTAATATAATGAAAGAGACAGTCTAGAACAGTAGTCACAGACATTGGTTCCAGGGCCAAAAGATGAGAGTTCAGGTTCTGACACCTCCTTTTCACTGTGCAACCATAGGAAAATACCCTGACTTCCCTGAGTGTCAGATTCCACATCCGTAGCAACAGACATGCATAGTCCCTACCTCATAATAATGATCAAATTAAAACAATTTCCATAATTTCTAGTTTCTAGTATGTGCTTTAAAAATGTCACTTTTAAGAGTCATAGAGGACCTGGATAAGGGGAGGAAAAAATAGGTTTCATAAATATTTTAGTACTATAAGCAGTATCTTATTGAGCTGATTTCTATGTGCCAAAGATCTCGTTCAATCTTCCAAGACCCCTAGGAGATAAAGTTACCATTAATATCCTTTGTTTTCAGAGAAGAAAACTGAGCATGATAGAGATTGGGTTTCATGCCCAAGGACACTCAGATAATGAGAAATTCTGGTACATTCCCCTGAGAAGTCATATCTGTGAGTCTGTTTTCCAGTATGGATGGCACGTATGGGCCCCTGTGGCAAAGTGCATCAAAAACAAAATCAGAGGGCATCTGGTTGGATGGTGGGAGCAAAAGGAGCCTTAGTGAGTGTCTTGCCCTTCACTTTGATCCCACATGCAGAGCCCGTCAACCACCCAGATCCTCTATGAGAGCCTAGACCCCTGGGTTTTGCTGTCTTGCCACCTTATGGGCGCCACATTCTCCTGGCATTCAGAAAACAAGACACTAGGGTATAGTGGCTAAAAGTAGGGCCTCGGTTCAGATGCCTGCATATGAATCTCAGCTCAGGCATTCACTAGTCATGTGACTGTGAGCCCCTGTTTTTTAGCCCCACTTGTCTTATAGGACAATTAGTTTTCTTGGTCTGGGGAATAAACTACAGACCTTTGATCTCATTTTATTTTAAAGCAATATTTGTATTTAGCCCAAATAATATTCTCTTCTTAGCATAGCTCTTTTATTTTAAGAGGCACAGTTAAAAGGAGTTGGATTTTGGACATTCATTAAAAATCCAATGTGATACATGAGGAGTTTCATGACAGTAAATTAGTACTCCCATAGAAGTATTAGTACCAATTGGAAATAAGTAGTACCAAATTGGACGCCAATAAGGCATCCAGTGGAAGCCTAGGGAACCTAAAATTGAATCTGTCTGTATTCTGTGTGTGACCTTCGGAGACCATGGTTGTTCCACAAGCATATGGTGAGCACCCATAATGTATTAGATGACTTCATATAACCTTTTTTATCCCCCTTGGAATTTCTTTAAAAGGGTGGCAGAGCGAGGGGCCACTGGCTGTGGTACAGCACTTCCTTCCTGAGCTTAGTACAGCCAGATGTTAAGAAGTGGCAAATGAGGTTCGGTCAGTGTATCTGACAAATGGAGAAACAGACGCAGCACAAAACTTGAATAAAATAAAGAAAATAGTGCATGCTTTTGAGGTTCATTTTAAGAAAATGGCATTCTTCATTTTTGGACAATTGAACTGAATAAATGTAGTATATATCCTTATATATGTATATATTTTGCATAGTCCTAAGAAGTAGGTATTCTTGGGCTTCAAGGGGCCTTATAAAATGATAGGAGGATACAGGAGATATCAGTGAAACACAAAGCCTCACAGCATTTTAATACCAGTTCAAATAATGAAGGTTGTCTATGAGCAGTACTAATTGCTGCATCGGTAAGTCAGACAATTAGGGCTGATTTTAAGGGAGGTAATGCTCTTTCTCATGCAGTTTTCATAGTTTTCTTAGTAGAGGAAGGGGAGATATGAGCTGGTACTAAAGAGTTGACACAGTGTATGTAAAGAGAAATAACTTTCCTAGCCTTAATCAGGTGTATAATTGTTCCTTTTAATCATTAAAAACAACAACAACAACAACAACAACAACAACAACAACAACAGTAAAAATAGGTTCCAGTGGCTCAGAACTAAGCATCTCTAAGGAATAGAAAGGGAAGGGATTTCAAGGGAAGCCCCTGTTAATTGCAGTAGTGACAGATGGGAATTGCTCAATAACAGGTTTGAGATGGTACTGAGAGGTGACTAAGGCCATGCTCTTGGGTCAGACACTTTAGAGCCACGTCCCAATGTGTCACTCATTGTCCCGTGATTTCTCCTGGCCTATTTTACCTACTAGGCACCCTCTACAGTATCTTTCGCCTAGGTGCTCTTCAAAGGATCACAAAAATCTTGGAGATGTGGATTGTATGCTCTGTAAAACAAAATTTAATACATGTGTAACAAAAGCCACATTATAGTCTATAATCCAACCCAATCTTATTCACTTATTGTGTTAGTCAGGATTCTTCAGAGAAACAGAGTCAATATGGATATACCTATGGGAAGAAAGTCATTATAAGAAACTGGTTCAAGTCATTATAGAAGCTAAGGAGTCCCACAATCTGCTGTCTATAAGATGGAGACCCAGGAAAGTTCATGACATAATTCAGAATGAGTCCCAAGGCTCACTGAGAACCAGTGCAGTCATTGGTGTAGATTCCAGTCTGGGCATTAAGGCCTGAGAACAAGGAGCACTGATGGCATGAGAAGATTGATATCCCAATTCAAGCAGTTAGACAGGAAGAACCTAATTCTTCCTTCCTCCGCCATTTTGTTCTAGTCGGGCCCTCAACAGGATTGGCTGATGCTCACCCACACTGGGGAGGCCACACTGCTCTGCTAAGTCCTTTGATCCTACTCTCATCTGGAAACACCCTCACACCCAGAGGTTGTGTTTAGCTCAGTATCTGATTACCTCATGATCCAAGTCAAGCTGACACATAAAATGAACCACCACATTTATAAAGAACATAATAAAGTTTAAATCACTAGGGCAAAATAGTGTATGCATAATAAAACAACATGCTCAGGAAATTTACATCAAAAAATGTTGTATATAATTGAGACTGTGGGTACATTTTGATATATTTGAAAGGTGGTGGGTTGGTGTCTTGAAAGGCAAAAGTGTCTATGGGCAGAAAAAGATCTTTAATGTTCCCACACTAAACGTCTCTTTGCCTACTGCAACTGTTGGTAGGGTGGTTGCAGGCAATAAATGAGCTAGTACATATGATGTGTACATGATGGTATCTGGCTTGTAGTAGTCACTCAGATTAATAGTTATCATTTACCAGGATACTTTAGTGACCATCCATGATGTTAAAATTTGAGGCATTGTTTGCTGATTTTACTTGCAGTAGTCTTGCTTGTATCAAAAAGATTAAATATTTTTACAATTGCTACAAAAGTCAAGAAATCATTTCATTTTCCTAGACTTAGCTAAGATAAATCTGGATTTGTAATATCAGTGGTTAGTGGAGGAATTCTAGACATCATAGCAATGCAAGAGGATTCTAGAAATTCACACATGCATACAAGGTATTATTCTGCCCCTTTTTGTGGCTTCAAAGAACTACACCAAAAAAATGTATAAAAATCAACACCTTTACTTCAACTTGCAGGATACTGCCTAGCTAAGTTTAATTGAAAAACTAATATTCAGTGCAATTGTCTGTGATAAACTAAGGCGTAAATGAGTTGAAAAACACTTTGGGAGCAGACAAATCAGATAATCACCACCTCTATGGCTGGGAAGGTTCAGCTGGTGATAACAAGTTGTAAAGATAAAAGCTTGTAGAAAGGTCAAGAGCTAACTGTCTAGATTGGGTTGGGGATCAATGTTGAATAATACTCAAAGTGTGAAAGCACTGAACTTCAAATGATCTCTCACAGTGTTCTGTTTTGTTTAACTTTTCAAGATAATAGTGTAGAACTTTAGGGAAAAATGTTTTTGCTAGATTTTATTAGGTGAATAGTTTACAGTGTTATAGTGTTCTCCACCATCCACCCACTGCTGAGATGTTGTATGTGTTCTATGATTTGTGCCCCACACTGAAATAAGAGGGCTTCAGCTGCTGTTTTTCAAAACATTTCCAGTTGGGTAACTATTAATAGTTGATGAGAGACAAGAGTTAGACTGTGCCATTTCTAGGCTTTTTTTTTTTTTTTTTTTTTAATGTTAACATTGTATTTGCCTCATGGCCTCACTCTGATCTCAGCAAGAACACTTTCAAAAGAAGCTCCTTGTTTTTTCACAGGCTGTTTGCATGATTTGATTCAGTG